GCACAGGGGGTGGGGGGAGGCAGCTGCACTGAGGGGCTGCCCTGGTGGCACCTATCCGGCCGACCGGGCAGCGCTGCTCGCCACCTACCCTGGAGGGTTCGGTGGAAAGTACTTGACATTCAGAAGAGAGAGAAGTGTTGCTCTGTCGCGCCTGTGGGGGCGGGGGTGGGGGGAGGGTGGTGGTAGTGGTTTTGCAGTCGTCCTCACACCGTTTTTTCTTCTCTGTCTGGTTTGAACCCACCAGCCACGGTGTGGGAGAAGGCTGGCCCCTGTGCCCTCCCGGGCACTGTGCCATGCCAGGTGGGGCACTGGCAGCCGCACCCACTGTCCCATGTCTCTCTCCCTCTTACAGGAAGACAGCGAGCCGCCTATCCAGGAGAGCCTCGGTATCGACAATACGCTGTGGGCCAGCACCGTGGTCGCCTCAGGTAGGCAGCCACCTCCGCTTCACCGAGAGCTTACACATGGGACACCTGCGCTGTGCTGCTCATGCAGCCTGCCGGCCTGGCCTCTGCCACATGTCCTCTCGGGTCACTGTGTGACAGGCTCCACTCCAGGGGTGTAGTGGGGACAGAAAATGAATGCAGCCAGTCCCGGGCTCTTCTCCCATGAGGCTGTGGGGGAGAGCAGTGTAGGCATGACCTGAGGCAGCAGTCTTGGGGTGGGATGGGATGACAGAGCAGTGAGGGGAAGGCACACAGATCCCCAGGCAGAATTGCTGAGGGCCAGGCTCGTGGTCCTGACCCCCGGGTTGGGTGTCCTTGGCCTTTCCAGGACGAGGGGGTGGGGTTGTCAGTGTGGTAGGTTGGCTGGGGCTGTGGGTTTACTTTGGGTGAAGTTGGGAGCCATTTGAAGCCACTCAGCTCCGCAGTCCGGGCAGTAGGTCAGCCCAGCAGAAGCTCGTGGCCGAGGTGCTGGTGGCCAGGGCAGGCCCAGCAGTGCGGAATGCTGGACGGTCGCCAGGACCACAGCACTGCCAGCCTTGTCCCCTCCGGGGGCTCACACCCACCAACTTGTTTTAGTGAAAAGATGGAGCAGAACACTTGTCCCTTCACCTTGGGAGTGAGCGTCACAGGTTTTTCCCTCCCTCCGTGTGTGTGCCACTCGGGTCAACGCTCGCGCGCGTTCAGGAAAGACACAAGGAAGGTAGTCTCCTCATGCCACGTGCTCTGAGAGCAGTCTGTGGTCCCCACCCCTGTCAGGCCCAGGGCTCAGGACGGCCAGTTAGACCAGCAGACCTGAGCACAAGGAGTTGGATGAACTCGGGGCTGTGGTCAGGTCTCCTGGCCCAGACAGGCGGCCTGCTTTCCTGACCTGAAGCTGCAGGGCAGCCAGTCCATGGGCGAGGCCCCTTGCATGAGAACAGCCCCTGCCCTGGGAGTGTAAGCCACAAGCTTGGCACCTGGGTAGCCGCTGTCAGCCAGGCCATTCACAGCCCCATGGCCCGTGTGGGGTGGGTTCCCAGGGGCTCTGGGTGTTGGTGCTTTCTGCCCCTCCCACATAAGCAAATACATCTTCGTTTGGAATAAGTTTTGAAGGGTGTAGCTCATTATTTTTAAGATGTAGCTCAATGGCATATTAATAATTTTGTCATCAGTGGTCTAGGGTTGATGTTTGTATAGATGTCATTTCCTGTGAGTCATCTTTAACTGAATTGGAATTTGTGAACTTTGGTTGATAATTTGTAAATTAAGCATAACATTTAATGCATCAGTAGTTAAAAATAGCAGTAGTTGCTCAGATGGGGCCATCAGGCTGGCCTGTGAATCTGCCGGTGGTCTTGGTGATTGACCAGCTGCTGGTGGGGGCTGTGTAGTCATCAAATGGAACTCCTTTTATCAAGGGAAATACCTTCAGTTCTACATTTCCTCTTCTTCCTTTTTTTGTTTTTTACCTTATCTTGTGTTAAGGAAGGTTTGTTGTGAATACAATTAGAATATTGATTAAAAGTTGATAAGAATTTGCATGAAGTTTCCTAAGTAGCATGAAACCAGGAAGTCCCACAACAGCCACCAAATGCACTCCCTCCCCACCCTGGTGAGCTGGGGCAGTCGGATCACAGCCCACCCGGTCTCGGAGCTGCTGAGTTGCCTCTCTAGCCAGATGCCCATCTCCAGGAGCCCCAGGTGTTGACCGCCCCCCCAGCCATTGACTCTGTAAGGGTGAACCCCCCCAGCTATTGACTCGGGAGGGTCAGGGGATTGAACGTCCCCAGTCACACTGACTCTGGAGAAGAGGGGGCTCCCAGCCATTGACTTAAATGACGAGACCCCTGGGCATTGACTCGGGGGATCTCCCAGCCCTCTCCCAGGAGAGAGGGCTAGAACCTAGGGCTGCAGGGGTTCTCGTTCTGGACGGGGGGATTAGTAATTGTGGTCGTTTAAAGGACACATTATTCAGTTTGAAATGTGTAGTACATATTGGTCAGTCACATAAAACTGTTGGCCTGACCGTCAGTCACACATGAAACATGCCTAACTCTACCTTGCTGTCAGGACATGGTCCTCGGGAAAGTAGAGGGCAGCAGAGGGAAGAAGGCCCCTGATGAGCTGAGTGGCACAGGGGCTCCGATAGGGGCGCCAGCACAGTAACACCGGGAAGACAGCTCGGACCAGACTGCTTCCTTCCGCTGTGCACCGAACCGCACAGACCCTCAGACCACTTCCTCAGTGTGAATGGAGGCCACTTATGAATAATATCCCGCCACTGCCTCCCATGGAATCAGAATAACAGAGACCTGTACCTCTCAGTCCTTACGGAAGCAGACTGCCTCCTCTCTCCCCCAAGGAGTGGCTGGTAGTTGCATTAACCACTGTGCCACCAGGGCTCCGTGGCCTTATTCTGTGGGCCTTACTAAACCAGCAGTGTGTAACAGAAAGACTGTAGTGGTTGGTGCAAACTCAGGGCTCTAGCACTCCAGGAGGTGCTCTCTGTGGGCTCCTGCTGCTGGTCCTTGGTGTTTGCCATGTGGGTTGCCGTCTGCCTGCCCCCGTCCACTTGCTGCTCCGGCCCCGTGGACTCCCACATCTCAAAGGCCACCCTGGCTGAAAGCAGCCCTGCCCTGGCCTCTGAGGGGGATGATAGCCTCTGGGATTAGCCAAGGTTTCCGCCCAGTGCAGGGCTCACAGTTCACACTGTGGTCTGACTACAGGGCGTTCCTGGTGTCTTCTGCCTGTCTGTCTGATGGTGACACGTCCCACGCTGGAAACACTGGGAACAGAACTTTGTTTTCTACGTAACATCTGAGGGAGCTTCAAAATGTCTGTGGGAAAATGGAATGAAAGAGAATGGACTTGATCATTCTCTTTCATGGGCTTTTGGGAAGAAAGCCCCTCAAATGGATTACATGAATGTTTTAGCACGTGATTTTTTTCATTCAAGTACTTTATTCAATGCTAAATACTTAAAAGTACTGTTTGTAAAATTCAGCCTTTCCTCATTTTGGCCCAGAATGAAGCGAGTAAGTTCTCTGGTACCCCACCCCCAACCCTAATGCCCCGGGCCTCATTTCAAAACTGTTCACTGGCTCCTTCCTACCCTTGTCTGCTGTGGGTGCCAGGCCCAGCCCTGCTGCAGCAGGACTGGCCAGCCTGTGCGTGCACCTCACCAGAGCTTTCCTGGGACATCCGTGGGGATGTCATCATCAGAACAGGTGACAGTCACAGAATAGAAAGCTGGAGATCCCTTGGTCGGCATGTTCATGTAAAGTCAGGTGGGGCAGGCAGCCTGGCACCATGGTGGGGCATTGCCCAAGGCACTTCACCACCTCAGAGCACGGCATTGGTGTGCTGCCCTGCCCTTTCCCAAGCTCGCCTCTGGGTGGCGACTGTGTTTTTTTGGGCAGTGACTCCTGCGTTTATTTGTTTTCTGAGATGTCTGCTTTTCTGAAAACCCAGACCACTTGTACAAACTACCTTTTTTCTGCCGTTATGCTTACTTAAGATGTGCCACTTTCATGTTTTGATGAAAACCTGGACCCATCAAGTTGATTCTGACTCAGAGAGTCCTTATATTGGTTTCTAAGTTTGTCAGTCTTTTTGACAGCAGGCATCATCTTTTACCCGCTCCATGACTGGTGAGTTTGCAGTGCTGATGCTTAGCTCCTACCCTACCAGTGGCTTCAAGCATAAGTTCAGCTAAGCTGGCACACGGGCAGTGTTGACTCGATCAGGTGTAGCTTTTTGCTTCAGTGCTGGACAAAAACATCTTCCGGGAGGCACTTTACAGGGAGGGTCAGCCACTGCTCAAGCTGTGCTCAGTGCTGTTGTCAGGCCCTGCCTGTCATTGGACTGCAGCCGTGGCTTTCCAGTGGCAGCCTCCCCTACCCACTGCTGAGTCTAGGGGGGTGGGACTGGCGGGAGAGACCCAAGGCCCCCGACCCACCTCTGTGTCTGGGTGGGGGCAGCGGGAGAGGTGTGTAGCCTCAGGGTCCTCTACCCACTGTCGAGGCTGGGCTGGGGTAGGGAGGTGGGGTAGGGAGGGGCAGACAGTCCCAGAGTCCTTGCCTAGTGGTTCTAAAATCACTCGTCTGACGCCGGCCCTGACTTGTGGCTCACTGGATTTCACCTTCATGTGAGATCATACAATTTAGAAATGATCGTGTCCTTAGTTCTGTGATGGTTCTTCATTTAGTGAATCCTGTGCATCTCTCAGGGCTGTCTTCCACATTAACCCTGTGTCTGGCTTTCAGAACTTTTAGAAATTCATGGTGACCATTGGAATGCATAAGACACACAACTCACTTCCAGAAACAGCTTGATTGAGTGTGGAGGGCCACAGGGGTCTGGGCTGTCCCTGAGCCCTTCTCAGCATACGGTATCCTTTCTGTCATTTACCTTTAAAGATGACATCCTCATATCGTCCTGGCTCAGAAAATCAGAAAACCACACTTTAGTAGCAAATAATAGCAGAGCCAACCCTGTTTTAATAGTTCTTCCTGTGCTGGCCTCTAAGCAGCGCCTGCCACCGAGAAGCCCTTCAATCTTATTATAGAGACCTCTGTAGTCCCAGCAGACTGATCACAGTGTGGCCAGTGAGGAATCCCACCTCCTCTCCACACCCAAGGGAGAAAGGTGAGGCTGGCTGCTTCTTGGAAGATGGGCAGCCTTGGAGACTGTATGAAGCCGTTCTGCTCTGCCCAGCAGGGTCTCTGGGAGTCATACTCGACTCATCATCAATGTGGGGTAGGGGCGCTGGGGTGGCTGGTCCAGGGAGAAGGGCACCTAGACTTGGGGTCACCCACACACGGGCACATGCTGCTTCTGACATCCTAGGCTGCTATTCTCGATGAGCCAAACCATGACCACGTGGGCTGTTGACCTTCCCATTGTGAGCGCCTGTCTCTGCTCTCCTGTTTTTCAGGTACTGTGATAGGTGTTGTTATTTACACTGGAAAAGAGACTCGGAGTGTCATGAACACATCCCATCCAAAAAACAAGGTAGGCTGGATCGGGAGCACCCGCTGCCACCCACATGCTCTTAGGGTCTCTGTGAGCCTATGCCCTGTGTGCTGTCCATGAGTCCTCTGCAGACACTGACGCCAACTGCTGCCCATACCGGTCACGAGTTTCCCTTGTGTGTGTCTGCATCTGTACAGCGGCAGTCTCCTCCTGAGGATTCCAGAAATAATGTGTCTGCTAATCAGTTTTATATGTCTTTTACATTTTAACTATTGGATATATAATTTGCTCATAATTTGAATGTTAATTGTAGGTCCCTAATTTCTTCAATCTATTTTCCCACCCATATGCACTTTTTATTTTATGTTGATGGTTAATTTCAAAATATTAATCTATATTAATGTTTTCATAGCATTTAATTTGGTAGTGCTAGATATATTGTAAAGACTGTTTATTTAAGTGATTTTCGGTTTAGGAGCATATTCAAAACTAAGTGTTAGGTTTAGATTGATAGACTTGATTGTGATTTCTAGAGTTGTGACTGATACGATCACAGGTGTGTCTGAGCGAAGTCACAGCAAAGTGTGGCTGCCCAGTGGTGCCGTGGCTGCAGACTCCCTGCATCCACATGAGCATGTTCCCACGGCCAGTGAGAGAGAAACTCCTCGTCATGGACTTGGACCCATTTTCACTTGAAACGATCTGCTGTATTTCTAAGGGGATGAAAAAAATGCAGATTTCTCCTCCATTTTATGATTCATTAATAGTAAAGTTCATCTTTTACAGCAAATTTCAGTACAAATTACTAGGAGTGAAACAATTCTGGTCAAGAGAGCTTTTTAGGAAGAGATGCATTGTTTGGAACAGCATGTAGCACTAGGTGGGCCTTCACAAGCTGTGGGAGTGGATGGGGACCTTGGAGCGGGTCAGGCCACATGCAGGGCTGCTGAGGGATGTCCCCAGAACGCCGCTCCCCTGTGACCCTGAGCCCTGGGCATGGACTTGCACAGCCAGAGAGGACGGGCCTGCTCGGCCGCACGTAGGCTCTGGTTGTGAGGGGCATGCCTGCCCCAGGGTCAGGCTTCTTGACACATACGTTCTGAAGCTCCTAACAGATGATTAGAAGCCCCGACTGCACAGCAGCACCAGCACTGCCTCGTGCTCTGCCATCCTCCCACTTGTTGGTGCGGTTGCTGTCCTCCATCTTGTCAAGGACCGTCCTCTTCATCACTGCCCTGTTCTGCAGGGTCTGGTCTCTCCTGACAGCACGCCCAAAGCACGTGAGACACAGTCTCGTCCCCCTTGCCTCTGAGGAGCATCCTGGTTGTCTTTCTTCCAAGAAAAGATTCATGTGCTCTTCGGGCAGTACGTAGGTAGTTTCAGTGTCCTTGGCCAGCACCGTAATTCAGACGTGTCAATTCTTCTTCAGCCTTCCTTACTCTTGTCCAACTTGCACATTCAAACGAGGCCGTCAGAGCACTGTGGCTTGGTTCAGACTCTGCACTTTAGTCTTCAAAGGAACCCCTCTGGTTTCCAACACTTGTCAGAGGTCTTGTCCAGCACATCTAGCCAATGCATTGGGTCCTTTGATCTCGACTGCTGCTTCCATGAGCGTTAGTTGTAGATCTGAGCAAAATGAAATCCTTGACAATTTCTGTCTTTTCTCCACTTTTTGTGATGTTACCGATGGGTCCCGTTGTGAGGATTTCGGTCTTGACATTGAGTTGTCCTCCATACTGAGGCTTCAGTTCTAGAGCTTCATCAGCAAGGGCTTCAAGTCCTTCTCGCTTTCCTCCAGCCAGGTGTGCCATCTGCGTAGTGCAGGTTATTGTGAGCCTGCTCCGGTTCTCATGCCACTTTCTTCTTCGTATGAGTCAGCTTCCCTGACGATTTGTTCAGCACACAGACTGATAAGTATGATGGGAAGACACAACCCCGAGGAATGCTTTTCCTGATTTTAAACCATGTAGTTTGCCCTTGTTCTGTTCGTACAACTGCCTCTTGGTCCATGTATAGGTTCTGCATGAGCACAATGTATTGTTCTGGGATTTCCATTTTTTTAAGGTTATCCATAGTCTGTGGTGATCCCCACAGTCTAATGCCTTTGCATAATCAATAAAACACAAGTAAACATCTTTCTGGTACTCTTTTCAACCAAGATCCATCTGACATTAATCAATGATATTCCTTGTTCCATGTCCTCTTCTGAGTCTGGCCTGAACCTCTGGCAGGTCCCTGTCCATGTACTGATGCAACCATTGTTGGATGATCTTCAGCAACATTTTACTTGCATGGGATATTACTGATATTCTATAATTTGCACATTCTGTTGGATCAACTTCCTTTGGAATGGGTGAAAATATGGATCGCTTCTAGTCAGTTGACCCAGTGGCCATCTTTCCAAATCTCCTGTCATAGACGAGTGAGTGCTTTCAGTGCTTCATCAGCTTGTTGAAACATTTTAGTAAGTATTCCATGCCTTCCTGGAGCCTTGTTTCTGACTAATGCTTTCATTGCAGCTTGAACTTCCTTCAGCACCATTGGTTCTCAATCCTATGCCACTTCCCGAAATGGTTGCATGCTGACTAATTCTTTTTGGTATAGTGACTCAAGAGTACCCCAAATTCCAAACTTTTATGTAACATATGGAAGCCAAATGCCTTCTTTTAGAAACATGTGTCTTGTCGCTCCCGCTGTAGAGGGTATATGAAGACAAAGCTATTGTCATTTTACATGTGGTCTTACCTAGTAGTTTCTTTGTAAGAAGACACTTAACAGTTTAATATATCTTGATTCCTTGTAAATTTCGTACAGTGTAATTTTAGTTTAACAAATCTGAATGTGCTTCAGAAGGTTCATGAGGAAGTAGAATTCACTGGTAATGGAGGAGATGGTGGTAGCATTTCCCTGTGTGTTGTAAGGACCAGAGTCATTGCTGAGGGGTAGGAGTGAAGGGAAGGCGGTTACAGCCACAAAGGTTGTTGCTGGGGATAGTGTCATTTTCCTATAATCATTGTGGTGGGTTGTGATCAGAGTAGCTGTTGCTCAGGGGGTGGTAGAGGTATAACCCCGATTCTTGCTTTGCTGAGGGGGATTGGATTGGTGGTGCTTTCCTGTAAGCCACTTTTCCCATGAGTCTTGCAGACAGAGGGCCTGATACACACCAGGGTCTGTGGGATAGGTTTTAGGGGCCTGTGGGCAAGACCTTTGACCTCTGTTGTACCTGCCCTTGTGCCACCTACCTGAGATGCCTGGGCTCGAGACTTATCACCCACTCCAGTGTCTGCCATCCTGTTCACACCCTACCAGCTCTGGGCCTCCAGTCCCTGTAGGTTGGGACCCCCTATATGTTAAACTATTCCCCATCCCAACCCCCTGCCCCCCACCCCCTGAGGAGAGCTGAGAAGTTAACCAGTGTCACTGGTTGCTGCAGAAGTACCTTTAAACATGGCGGTGCCGGGGCCCCAGATGCCTGGCACTGGCTGTGTGGCTCCAGCCAAGACTTGCTTCTCACCTGAGGCCACCTCTGGCCTCTCAGGGTTGAGGACCCCCAGCCTCTATCTCATGCTTTATCTCCTCAGGGTGACCTCAGGTTAGAACAGTGTATAGAGAAATTACCTGAGCTCTAGCCGAATTCAGTGGACACGGTCAGTCTTGTAGACCAGCCCAGTGTTCCCACAGGTGGGGAGCACTCCAGGGAAGGAGAGCTCGGGACTCTGGTGCTTTCTCTCACTCGGCCCAGCTGCCGTGTGACTCCCGGTAAAGCTGGGAGCTGGTCAGAAGTTTCTCTTGCCTGGGCACTTACCTTCAAAGTGATGTGTGATGACAGTTTAAATGACAAAGCCAGCAGCTTTAGTCACAGAGTGCTTTATAAACCCCAGCCCCAGACGTATTTCATACGATGACACCTGACTGCATTTAACAGGGAGCCGATCTTACAGGAGGTTCTGGAGAAATCAGTGGTGACAGGTTGCCATTTCCACGTCATTCATAATAATAAGTTGCTCAGAGCAGGAACATCAAGGATGAAATGATCACACAGATTGCCTCCAGCCAGTTACTGTAATTCCTCGGGCTATTGATTGTGTTTCTCAGGAAAAGATGCGTGGGGAGGCTCAGGGCCAGGGGCCAGGTGATGTGCGCCACGGGGTGCGTTAGAGCTGCTCCTGCTCACGGTGCCGGCTGCCCATCGTGGGGCGGAACAGACACAGCTGTGGTGAACTTGGCAAGGGGAATGATCTAGGTCATTCTGAAGAATAGCCATCTTATTTTTTTAAGAGAATTTATTGATATTTAAAATGCTGTGCTCTCTTATTAAGATATTACATGAAAATATCTGTGGTCCGGTGCACAAACACAGTTCCCCTCACCCGGTCCTTCGTGCCTTCTGGAATAACAGAATATTTTTGCATCTAAACATGACCTTGTGCATTCCCAAGAGAGCTCCTGCTGCAGAATTCTCGGAATGCCTTCCCTTCCCGGGTAGCTGTTACTCAAACTGGTGAGGCACGGCCTGCAAGGCCTGGCCGGGTGGGAACCTGCAGCCTCCGAACCAGGCACAGTGCCACTAGCAGCCCGCCCTCGCCCGCCTCAGCGCCAGTCTCAGTGGGGCATGCGGGTGCTCTTGCTGTAGAACACGTGGGTGCATGCACGCAGTGCTGAACAGGAAGGGCCCTCGGGCTGTTTGGTAAGAGGGGCTTTGACTCAGCAGAAGCCCTTGGGGAGCAGCGTTGCGAACCTGGCCTGCTGCTAACGGAGAGGTTGGCTTCCTAAACCCACCCGGCAGCCCACAGGAAGGAAGACCTAGTGATCTGCCTGGGGCAACCAGCCAATCACGGAGTGCGTATTGGGAAGGGCTGTGGAGCGGCACTTCATCAGTCTGAGAAAATCAAAATTCCTAACAGAGGCTCCACTGGTTTAAAGCCAGGAGCTGTTTAAATGTTTTATACTGTTACTCCTTCCCTTGAGCCGTGAGAATTGTTAGAACTGCTCTTGATCATGCGTTTCCCGTCTCAACTCCCCAACCTGTTTATTCTTGA